ATCTGAAAACAGCGGTAACAGTCTTATCCTCATGTTTTCAACTCACAATAACTCCGCTCTTGTACCGTCTTAATTAAATTACTTCATAATCTGTAATGATAACAAGTAGTAATTTACCAATAATAAAGGCGAGACTTTTAAACTAGCTACGTTCTTTGTCACTTATGTTCCTATAAAAAAATGCACTGATTCTTATTTTTCTTATTCAGGGCATAAAGCCACAGTGTTTCGAGAAAATACCGGTTGAATATCCTGAAATTCGGGAGATTATCGACCGCTGCACGCGTCTCAGTAGGACTGAACGGTAAGCGTTTGTCGACACCCATTTATTTTGCTTCGTAACCACCATGTTGTTTCATTCAGGTACACAGCGAAGGATTTATTGATCCACGACTTCTTCATGCCTGAAGAATTGATTGGCCTTCGCGTTGAAATCAAAGGTCGAGAAAACGCTGTTTGTTCTACGGGAAACGAGGTAGGTGCGAAAGTTTGACAACTGCTTGCTTGTTGTCGCCGTTGATTTTAGTCTCATGGGTGCGTTAAGAAATGATCATGAGCCCTTTGCAGGTTCAGATGCTTTTACGCGTTGTTGATCCGAAAAAGCGACGTGAGTATAAGCAGAAAGAAAACGAAGCTATACAGTTTACGTTCGACATGCAAAACGACAAACCGGAGGAGGCCGTGAAAGAGCTGGTATCTACTTGCCTGCTCTCAAATGTTTTTAATTTATACCTTTAAATTTAAGGTGTCTGCCCAACTGGCACTCGAGGAAGACAGCAGAACGGTTGTGAAGCTGATTCAGGACAAAATAATTCAATTGCGTAAGGACAGAGAACTCTACCAGAACGAACAGAAGCGAATCAAGATCGAAGAAGAAAAACACAGAGAGGAACAGCAGCTGCAGCAGGAACTTAAAGAGTTGAAGGAACAGAAAAAGGAGAAGAAGGAAAAGGAGCTGCGCGAACGAGAGAGCAAAGTCGAAGCTGTTGCGTAGCTTCACATGGGACATCTGGCCCTAAATTATACCATTTTGTTTATAGCCCGCTGCTGCTACCGAACCTGTTAGCGTTGTATCTGAGGGGATCGATGGTCAGAAAGTTCCTGAACCGCCGACAGCCACTATTCCAACTACTGCTGTTGCTACCACTGACAGGTGTGTAAGGTGACTGAATATCTTAAATTCTTGTTTTGGTCAGACTAGTCATAGCATAACAGTTTTTGAATGTTTCGTAACTGTTTTAGCGTAACCACACGAGGTGTGTGCCTCCCTATTTTGCTATGTTAGGAAGAACCTCTGGATGCTCCTGATATATAACCTTGATCATGGATATGCCATGGTAACGCATGTGCCAGACGTTTATTCCGCTGAATGCAAGAATCGCCCGGGCTTAGTAGGTAACCAGAAGCGATAGACCTGATGTAACAATTCCAGCTACAAATCTTCCGACATTAGATGATAGTAATATTCAACTCATAAAACCTAAAATCGAATTCGAAACTTTGCTACATGTCAGACGGAAGAAAGCCTGTTGTCAATTAAAATCGCCCCATGATTATTCAGATACGGACGAATGCGAATGTAGGAAAGCTCTATGGCGCCTTTCGTCAAATACTGACCTAAAAAATTTCCGTTGAGTTGAATTTTTGGGCCACCACCCGTATGGCTGAAGGTGCAAACTATCTGCTGCTCAAACCATAGCGGCGTGAAACTGCTGTCATCTCCTAAAAGGTATTTTTCTTCAGTGAGCATCAACTCCATGGTTGTTTTTTTGTCTGTTGTATAACCATATTGTGTTATTTTATAATTTAATACTGAAACTCAGGCTTAACAAATCTCGGTTAGTACCTTTTTTATGCTAGTTTCAAGATTTACGTAATGAGGGAACTCTAATCTTGGATTTTCTCTGTTAATATTATGAACTGATATATTGCACAAGTTTCCAAATATTGAGCGAGTGTTTGGTTAAAGCGTTGGTAGTTATATTAAAAACAGCACGTCCGGTTTAAAGACACGATTAAATTATGTCATAAAGACTGCATTAAAACAGATCCTAGGTCATTCAGAAAATGCGTTCTACAGTCCTCAGGTTAGGTGCTTTAATTTATGTTATTTTTCTAGACGGGCACCTAAGTTACCTGATATCTGCATTCTTGCATAGT